TCTTATCTTAATACACCACAAAAAACCAATTTGCGATCTGAAGAATAGACCGTATCAATTAGGTTAGGGTTTCACTTCTGACGCGAGATCCAACTTCAAAAAATTTTACATGGGGACCTTATGGAGGTTTGAATTCAATATGGAACTACACAAGTACATAATGAATGTGAGCTCTTAAACATCTTGAGCCAGATACCTTCATGATTTCTAAATGTATCAATGTCAGAACATCATTGAAATTCCCTTTTATAATTTTTTTATAATGAAATGAAACTAGTGATGTTCAAGAAATTCTCTATTGTCGTAGATCAATTCAGGTAAACGTAACGTCACAGCTGTCAACAAATTCCGCTCCCACTCCACTACTAACCTAAAACTTAATCAACGTTGCCTGAGATAATAATTAAAATTAATATAAATTCATAGTAATCTTAAGGATTATTATTATTATATTCTAAACTAAACTCAGACAAGATTCTATTCCAGTAGTAATAATCACTTTGTAATCTGAAGTAACAATGGCAAATATTATAAAATTATCTGCAATCAATGAATATTTTTGTGACGATTTGAAATGCATACACAGAGGTGAACAGAGTCTTTCATCTGGACATTTAGAAATGTGCAATTTTGATGCAGGATTGAAAATCATTAAGTGAAAAGTGAAAGCAAGCATGAGGGACAAGAGCAATGATATCCAGGTTGCTCAGAAAACGAAGGAACAAACAACCAAGCATGGTTCATCAGTAGAAAACATAGACTGACTTCCTCCAATTTTGGTGAAATACTGAAGGCGGCCTGTAGACAGAGATATAATCCATCATTGTTCAAAAAATTATAAGGTAAGACATTCTTAACAAAGAATAATACTTTTTTTTCAAATTTAACTGATCTTTGTATCACAGTTTCATATATCACGTTTATTAATTTTGAAAGGTTTTATTTTTTCTTTATTCAAATATAGGTTGAAATATTTTGCTTCAATGACAATATATATTGTAAGTGCAAACTTGCTCCATAAGACAGTCATAGCAACCTTTATTATATTTTTTTCATAGAAGTATTGTAATTCCTATCTTCTACACATATTGTACATCAAATGATTCATTTCAATGAAAGTATTTTGGAAAAAAATGGCATTTTTTTCCATATATTGATTAGCAAACTTACACAATTTTATTTTCAGAAAGCTATAACTTGGAAAGGCGAAACAAATTCAATAGGGACGCCAGAATAAAATTAATGGGATTCAATCTTTTGAATCTGAAGAAAGATGACAAATTATTCAGTGAAAATGGTGAATATATTGTCAATAAAGAGCATAATCATTATGATCAAATTCAGGGGCAGCTACACATTACTGGAAAAGACTATTGTTACTTAGTTTTATGGACCACTGCTGATGTTGCAATTAAGAAAATTGAAAAGGATAAGAGTTGGGAAAAATATTCATATACTGAAAGAGTTTTATTTGAATGAATATCTCACTTATATACGCTATATCTATATCTATGATGTATTGTATTTATTATTTTTCAATATATGCAAATGAATTTTGACATTGTTTACTGTTATTGGAAAATGTGATGTTTCGTATACTGAAAGTAAATCATTCTTCACAGTCATATTTATCACAGTCGTAATAATTATAATAATACAAGTACTTTATTGGTGAATACCAAAAGGCCACTGACTAAATCTTCCAGCCAACACAGTCATATTATCACAGAAAAACATTAACTAGGACAATTTGTAAATATCAATATACCTACAGCACATTTGCTATTCACTACAATATTTTTAACTAAAGGGTTTTGTAAGTTAACAAGAGAACATATAACTTGAAATATTGCAGAAAAAAATTTCTTCACTGAACCAGGAATTGAATTCAAAATTCAAAAATTTTTGATCCTAGCATTTGCCCGCTCTACGTGAATTCTAGCTCTTGCTATCTCTAATGTCGTCATGGATTCACTTTCAGTGAACTGATTGCTCATTAGAAATGGAGGCACATTAATGGTCACTCCAGGCTTTAAAACATCCTGGTTCTAAATGATTATTCAATCTACCCATCAAAAATATTTGTTTGCCTGACGTTGAACCAGGAAACATGTTACTTACAAATGCTATAACGCCATTTGGGGTAACTTCCACCAATACTTTATAAGTATTTGCATGCTGATAATTGCTGTAAGTTTGTTTCTTCATGTTCATATCCTTTGGATTTGTAATTTTCACCTCTGTACAGTCAATTATAAGCCTGCAGTTGGTAAATGATGAGAAAGAATTAGGGAGACATGTTTCAATTTTACATTTCGATGGGAGTTTTGTCATGAACTCACTGTAAAGTGTTTTATGTATAAGGAGAACCCAAGTAAAAAAAACATTTGTAACACAATGTTGGGCTGCAATTAAATCGAGTGGCAAGATCTAAGTGGGGAAAATTCATTCTCAACTTCATGATATTAGTTGTATAAGATGTGGTCTGTTTTTGATATGTTTGTATGAAAAGGTATGCCCTGCCACAGAAGGCATTGCAGAAGTTTCAATATGATCTTCATTTCCTTTCCTTTCATGTGTTATTTCAGGGACTATATGTGTGTGTATGAGTAAAATGGGTTCATCTTTTCTCATATCCTCACTTTCTGCCCTTCGAACTCTTTTAGTATGTTCAGTACTTCCAAATCTCTTCTCTCTGTTGTGAGTGAAGATGGTAGGAATTTATCTTTAACCCATCTTCGAAATGGCAACTACAGTCACGGCTTGTGTCCGTAGGTTTTCTATCATTCCGACTGGAAAAAATAATGAGCAAATAGAGTCATTGCAGAGGATACATCTATCAGTGATTGCATTAAAATTTTCAACACAAACCATGCTGAATTTTTTATCCATATTTTTGCTTTTTTTTTTCATTCCTTGGAATTGCAAACATGTTGCAATTGCGTGGATACCTATGGTTACATCCAGGAGCAAAACAATGCACCATTTTCAGATTTTCGAAATAACATTTTCGAACTTTGTCGGTATTAACACGTGAATTTTAAATATCCCGCTAACTTTGCTGCCCCACCAGTAATATACCACTCTTCAATCTAAGACATGCGTTTTATTAATTTTGCAATGCATTTTTATATTGACAATTCATAGAAAATTATCCATATTTTTCAAACGTATTCTAAAAACACTTTATTGTGTGATTTTCACTAGACAGTTTTACAAAAACACAACAAGTGTTTCGCCATACAATGGCTTCCTCGGGTGTATCTTAATAACTAATTCTACACATTCAATGCTATATATAGACTCCATTCTACAATTCTGAATTTCAAGTACCTGATTTTTTACCTAANCTTTTTTATGTAAAATCAGTTCTAAGGAATAAGATTGAATACCTGAAAAAAGGCGACAAAGTCGAAGAATTTTTAGTCCCATAAGATTTACATGGAAAATTAAATGACAGGTTTCCGTGATGGACCTGAGTTCGAATTTCGCGCTCAAAAAATCCTAACCTAACTAATATGGTCTTGAAAATGTTGAAATATTGACAATGTTGACTGCGGCAGTTATGATTGTAATATTAGTTTTAATTTTATAAAAATTATAATGAATTAACAGAGGATAAATACTGTGTTTGTTGATACTATTTGTATGTTTTCTTATTGTAAGTAAGTTTCCCGAAAAAGTCTTTAAAAACTTGATTTTGTTGAAAAGTATGATTTGATTCATCTCTAATCTCAGAAGGGATGTTTGGTGTCGCAGGAATACTGGTACTGAGGTATTAACCTCAAGTGGAGATGTAGTTTCCAAGGGAGTGGTATTGTGATTGGAGAATTCCACAGGCGTATGGTATGATTGAGGGAGTAATAAGTTTCGATGAGCTATTTCGTCATATCCTGACTTTTCTATTGGAGACGGTCTCCTGCGTTTTGTCTGTGCTGTTATTCTGATGCAAGAGTTTCCACTGTTGTGATTGGGCTTATTATGGGCTATAGAAGGAAAGTTATGACTGCTACGATGGAAGAATTGTGGACCAGCTCTTCGTTTTAATGGAGGATGCACTTGTGCTGCTTCGTACTAAGACATATTCTTATGTGCCATTAGTTAATTGATTAAACCCTGTCTTTCGAATTCCTTACAGCTTTTCTTGTCGTTGCCTAAGTGTTCGCCATCACAAAAGATGCATTTGATAGGAAACGTACCTTTTTGGTAAAGCTTATTACATTTTTAACGTTTGCAAGGTGGAATATTTTGCCCAAATCCATGGAATGCAATGAGGTTCCTTGCTTTATCTCAACCATAACCAAGAAAGGTCCAAAATCATTGTTGGTGTAGGTAACTTTCGGTACAATTCATTAATTTGTGTAAGCGTACTTTGGTCATGTTTGAATTGTTCTGATAGGATACTCAGTTCTGAGTATAATGTTTCTATTGCCTGGGACTGTGCAGGAGATAGTTGATGTAAGAATTTTATGAATGTTTGTGAGAAAGGAGATAGAAGATTATTCAATATAAAGTTTGAATTGTCTCTTGCCATGCTTTCATATGAAGAGTGGCCCCCAGGGGGACCGAAGGATTCGTCCCCCATGGACTACACAGGGCTAAGCAAGCAAAAGTTTTACAACTTAAAGCACCAATAGAAGTTACATATAAAGTTTGACTCACTAATGTTTTTCAAGGTCGCACTCACACAAAATTAGCGTAGTAATTGATGATAAAAATCGATATCCACACTGACCATTCTGACTGCATCTGAAGGGTTATTATTTATTATAGATCGTTAATTATGGCTTGTTTGTAAACATAAGACTTTTATAAGAATTACACAATAAATGTTAATGATGTAAGATAACATAGATACTTTTTTATGATTGAAACTGTACAATTTTGTAATGAAGCAAAATGGCGTATGTCATTTGAAAACTCATCATGTTAAACATTATATAGTGTTGGCATGTACACATCTCTTTAAGAGGGCTGTTATTTCTGAAATAAAAATATGGCAGGCAAATACATACTCACCGTTTCTGAATCGAATTTTTTTCCCAAAATTCAATCGGGAAGGTTGAGTGATTTATGAGTAGTGCTGGAGCAGAACCAATTTCATAAGCAGCCAAGTTGATGTATGTAGCTCCTTCTGTCAACTGGATGTCTACATTTATTCCACCAAACTGTAGAATGAGAATCAAATGACTGACAATAATAATAATAATAATAACAATAATAATGATAATAATAATAATAATTTGAAAATTAGATTGGAATGATTATTGGAGTCCTTGGTGGAATGATGTCCTACCTACTCTTGAATCTTAAAATCATACCGGCTTGCCGCACTAAGGCAGAAATCTTAGCTGCACAGATGCAGAAGGCTGTTATTCTTGGCTCACTGTGCTTGCTCTGGGCACGTGATTCTCGGAAACAATGATCACTTACCCCACGATGTGGGGAGTGGTCATTGGTTGATAATACTGGCGCGCCCTCCCGAATGTATCGGGGCTTCGGGGGATAGGGCCTGACCAGCGCACACTACGGGAATAATAATAATGATAATAATTCGACAAACTTCGACTGATCTGGTCATCGGAACTGTCGGGGAAGAACAAAAGTTTCTGCAACAAATATGCTTGCCGTTCCAATCTTACTCTACTCGTTTGGAGTAGTGAAGTGGACTCTGGAGGAGCTGTATCAATTCGACGTAAAGACCCGAAAAATGATGCATCTCTATAGGAGTTTGCATCCCAAATCGTCCGTTCCACGGTTGTAATTCCACCGACAACAGGGAGGCCATGGACTTTTGAGTTTGGAGTGTCTACATGACAGAATGGTACTGGATATAGCCTGTAAATACATAAGGAGTTCGGATCCCCTTCTCTGCATGGTCCGTGACCATGAGAGAGCAGGAATTGTAGCATTTCTCTTTGGGGCAGCTGCCCGAGCAGCTGATGGACTCGGTTTAGTTTTTGACACTGAACGAGGTGACCGCAACTCTGTCACCGAGTTGAAACCCGTTCAGCATAAAGCTCAGATTAAAGCCGCAGAGATCACCTTACTTCTGCGGAAACAAAAGGATAAGCCAATGCATGGGGTCTTCAATAACATTGGAGACCTTGGCTTATCAAAGCGCCCGACTCAGGTCGAGTGGGCTGAAGTCGGAAACTGAGGGGTTCATCATGACTTGCCAGGATGGTGTCTTCAACACATTAGTCTACTCTCTTACTGTCTTACTCTACACTCTTACAGTAATGACGAGCAACCGGTGTTGCCCTACGCTCCGGGGGATATTGAATCCGTTGTGGGGAACGAGAAGTGCCGAATTTAATGAAACTATTCGTTCCCCACCCTCAGGCTCATACAAGCTAATAAGTCTGATGTAATCCTTCACGACCACCAGAGCAAGACGATATTTGTCGTGGAGTTTTCAGCTCCTGGCGAGACGAATATCGTCCGAAAAGAGGAGGAAAAACGGAAGAAATATCGAGATTTTCTTTTCGAACTCCGCAGACTCTATCCAGACCACTCTGTCAAGATGATTGTGATTATTGGAGTCCTTGGTGGAATGATGCACTCTCTACCTCGAATCTCAAAATAATACCGGCTTGCCGCACTGAGGCAAAAATCTTAGCCGCACAGATGCAGAAAGCTGTCATTCTTGACTCATTGCGCTTGCTCAGGTGTGGGGAGTGGTCATTGGTTGATAATGCTGACGCGCCCCCCGGGGGATAGGGCCTGACCAGCGCAAACTACGGTTGAGAAAATAAATAATAATAATAAGTTCATTTATGGATGAATACAATACATTTTTCAACATATTTGTTATGAATAAATTAAGGTATGAACCTCATGAAGAGGATTTGTAAGGAAATGCAACATTAAAATCAATTCCACTTTGTCATTAGACTCAAAAGCATCAGTTCTAGAAAATGGGAAAGAAGAGTCAGGAACCAATAGGAGATAACATTGATGGGAGTGTCAGTTGAAAAAAACTACATTTTAACTGCAGCGGCGATTCTCACTCCTTACAATAAATACTCGGAATTGTAGAGACGAGGTGTGTATCGTATGAGTGTCGAGTTTGGATTGAATTATTAACAATTTTCGGCTTGCTGAGTCACATCAATCAATCAAATATATATTGTCTATATATTGTCTGAAATATATAAAATCAAGAAAAGTTAATGCAGTCAAGCTGCTGTAAAATAATTTCATGAAAATCAAAAGATAAAGATGAGTACTATTGTGATCATTTCCAATTTGATTTCAATTTAAGAGTCACCGGTGGACAGCTGTTTCAGCCTATTGGGCATCATCAGTATCGACCACGCGGTCCTCGCTTGCCTTTATTTTATGAAGTACTCTTCTGGACTCTTCACATTTTGTATTCAGTGGAGGACCGCCTGCCCGCATATAGGGTTGTGGCTTGCAGAAGCATGGAAGTAATGATCTTTATGAACGAGGCTAATCTTTGTGAATCATTTCGTTTGTTGAGGCAATTGAGATATTCATCGATTTCAATAGCTTTTCGGATTATCTGTAAAGTTTTTTTGGTGGCAATGGTTTTGGTATTTTCGAAGTTTATTGTGTGGCTTGTTTCACGATGATGTTTGAAGAGAGATGAGGCTGGATCTGATTCACGAACAGCAAGCTTGTATTCATATGCTTTTTTGGAAATTCTTCTCTTGGTCTAGCCGATGTAAGTTCTGGACCAGTTGGAACATGGTATTTCATATGTTGCCTTATTGCTTCGCAATATATAGACTCTGTTGTAGATGTATGTTCTAGAACAGTTGGAAAATGGTATTTCGTACGCACACCTATGGAAACAATACCCCATGAGAACGGGGGCTGAAAGAAGACCAGCTAAATGTAAAAAATACTAAGAAGCTTATTTACGTAAATATTTATTCAATGAAAAAAGGGTACCTATAAGGTGGTTATAACGAAAAGCTATAAACATAAACACAACTTCAAATGTGTAGTGAAGGTGTAAGCTTCATCTACGAGTTACGAGATGAAGCAGCGACACGACCGACAACCTTTTATTTGAGCGAAAACTCGACAAGAATAAGCTCATTTTCATATGTGGGTTTAGCTATAAGGTTCTTTTATAACACGTTCTACAGCTAAATAAACTAACTGCATATCTAGGTTAGTGAGAGTGTCCTTCCAATTCCTACCTGCAGAAAGTTTATTTGAGGAAGCTGTCACCTGAAGAAGCAATTATTCAAACCAAACTACTTGGTATCTTCCATACTTCGCTACTATTATTCCCAACAAACCTTACAAAATCAGTCCGGTATTTGATCAAGTTCTATTTGGACGACTATCTGGAGTCAACAGATTCAGAAGAAGAGGCCCTGGAGACCATTTTTGAAGTAGTACGAATTCAACGCCTTGGATGATTAGAGTTAGTAAACTGGTCATGCAACTCTTCGAGGACCATTGCATACGGGGGAAAATTTGGTAGATGGAAAATTTTTTGACACTCAACTCTATACACGGAGGTCTCGGGATGTGGTGGGATTCAAAGATGATAAAATTTGTAATGATGTGGAAGCTGAAAATTCGATAGTGGAAAAAGCAACAAAACAGCAAATATTGAAGTTAGTGATGACAATATTCGACCCACTTGGAATGCTTTTATGTTTTATTATAGTTGCAAGGATATTTTTACAAAATATTTGGAGAGGAGATATTTAATGGGATGACGTGATCCCAAAAAAGATTCATGAGACCTGAAGAAGATGCAAGAAAGATATGAATAAAATTTTGAAAATGAGTTTTACAAGATGTTACTTCTTGTTGATACTCAAATCTGAACGAATTGAGCTAAAAATGTCAGCGAAAAGGCATTTTCAGTGAAAGCTTATTCGAGGATTGTTTATTCGGTAAAATTTGAAGTTTTATTTAGTTACTGGAAAATCTAGAGTTGAACCTATGAAAACATTTTACTATTCCTAGGTTTACAAGGTGCAGTGTTGGCGCTGGATATAGAAATCCACAGAGTATGGTTGTGGTCAAAGTGGCACACAGAGTAGGTAAAATTCAATAACGATCCAGCACTAAAAATAGGTACTGGATTCCCATCTCTAAATATTGCATACAAAGATACAAGACACAATTCTGATGAAACTTATGCAGTCTTTACAAAACAATGAATTTTTGGACCTGCATTTTTAAGAAAATTGGACTGAAGAAATCAGAAATGAAAAAATAGAAAACGATCTAGAAGAAATACAGGAAACGAAATTGGAGCTTCGCTATATCAAGATTATAGCGTAGTTTCTTAGATTTGTTTAAAAGTTGAAAGGGGAAGTTGGAGGGTTGAAGGAAGCGGAAAAGCACTACATCAAGCTGTCGCAAGCAGAAAGCTTTCCTGAAGAGATTGCACGGTTGAAAAAACGTAAATCCATAGACAACAGAAGTAGACTGAAAAAATTGTGTTCTGAATTGAAAAAAGATGGTACATTCGTTTTGGCTGTGTGGACTAATTTAGCAAGTTGTTTGTCACTGCAAACAAGAAGAACTTATATCCTAATTCCCAAAAACCACTATACTCGAATATTGTGATTAAACTTCGGAGAAAGTACTGGATTTTAGATGGACGTGCTGCAGTGAAACCTGCAACCAAAAGATGCCAGTACAGCCTCAACCGCCACCAATGAGAAAATTACCACAAGTAAGATCAATCTCAGGTCTGAGACCCTTCATAAACACCAGGATAGACTATTTTGGGCCATTCTATGTAGTTGTGGGTCGAAGGAAAGAAAAAGGGTGGTGAGTTATTTTCACATGTCATCTTGAAATATCTCACCATCTCACAACTGATTCGGCGATAATATGTATAAGAAGTTATATTTCAAGGCGAGAATGTCCTGATAGTATTTATAGTAACAATGGAATTAAATCTTCGATGAGCTGCAGAGGAACTACGCCAGGTTTACAAAAATTACGAGGCTAGTGGAGAAAATCTCAATATTCAGTGAACACTTTTTGGACTAGGTAGATTAAAGTTAAATTACCATTCCTATTTCGTCGAAAAAAAAATGGGTTGATATTCAAACTTCTTTAAAAATTGACGATTTCATTGTAATTGTTGATGATTACTCGCCCACAAACTGCTGGAAGATAAGTAGAATTGTATAATTTTTTCCAGGAAAAGATGGCAAAGTTTGCTTGGCAGAGTTCAGAACTTCAACTTCAACCAACACCTACCATCGCCCAGTTACAGATTTATGCAGGTTGAAAGTAGAAGGAGAAGTGAAGAACGCTCCTTCACGGAGGAGAGAATTTTAGAGTTCATTTTATGTTTGAATTTATATTTTTACACCCTATGTTTGTTGGAAGGTGGATGACAATGTTTCATGGTGCATTTTATTAGTTCGGACTTCCTTTGTCTAGTATGATATAAATTGATTTGAAATCCCTGAAAGAATCTGTAAAAAATTTAAAAATGAGCTGAAAAAACTATTTTAATAAGCAAAAAAAACTGAAATTATAATAAAAAACTACAAATAACAACCAAAAAATCAAAACAATTAAATAACAACCCGAAATGAAAATTAATTAAAAAATTATTAACAAGAAATGAAAATTATAAATTAAAAGATTCCAAACCAAGTTACTTCACGGCGTTTCGATTGTTAGTATCCACAATCGTCTTCGGGTGATAACTGGACTTATTCCTCAGAGATCTGTGGGGAAGGAAGAGGGGATAGGTGAAAGCAAACGAATGCTTTCACCTATCCCCTCTTCCCTCTCTACGCTTCATCGGTTTTAGCGGAAGCTGACCGTTTGGCGGAAGTTGGTCGTGTTCCGCTTGATTGGAGGTTTTCACATGTTGCGTATCTCTACGCTAGCTTGGCTAAATGCGTTGTTGGACAACATATATGCGGCTTCTTTGAATTTTCTCCTAAACCAGTGTTCCTTCTTGTGCATGATCTCAGCTTGAGCCCACTTAATGTTATGTTGTTGAGTCCAAACATACTCTGTTATTCCTGATTTGCTAGTTTCTCCTTGCTGTGTGTGTTTCTTGTGCTCGGCAATGCGAACTTTCAATGGCCTCCCAGTTTTACCGATGTATGATTCTTCGCACTCGGAGGGTATCCGGTAAATGCAATTCTTGGAATCGCAGTCCGCGTTTGGTGGCCTGATTTTCGTAAGGCTACTACGAATAGTAGTCCCAGATCTAAAACAGGTTTTGAAGTTATACTTGGACCCAATCCTTCTTATTCTTTCCGACAATCATCTGATGTAGGCAAGTACAAGTACTGGCGTACCTCTAATCAGGCGGAACACGACCAACTCCCGCCAAACGGTCAGCTTCCGCTAAAACCGAAGAAGCGTAGAGAGGGAAAAGGGGATAGGTGAAAGCACTCGAGTGACCTATCAATAGTCAGATATCTGAGGAATGAGTCCAGTTATCACACGAAGATACATGTCACGTGTGGATACTATCAATCGAAACGTCGTGAAGTAACTTGGCTTGGAATCTTTCAATTTTTAATTTTCGTTTCTTCTTAATAATTTTTAATTTGCATTTCTTCATAATGATTCAATTTTTAATTGTTTCTTGTAATTTATTTCATTGTAATTTCAGTTTTTTTGTTATAATTTAGCAAAATCTTTTTAATTTTTATAAATTCTTCCTGGGATTTCAAAATCAATTTATGTCATATTAGACAATGGAAGTCCAAACTAATGAAATGCATTGTATTATTGATGTAGAATTGATAAATATGATCTACCTATGCTCTACCTTTTGATTACATGGGGTATATATGTAGAAATTAGAGTGAAAGAATTAACTTTCAGTATATTATTCACTACTGTGAAACAAAACATGTAGTGATATATTTTGAAAATAAAGTTTATGAGGATCAAATCGTAACGTGCAGTTTATGAAATTACTACGGATCTTCATCAAGTAACGGCCGAATCAATCAGAAAAAGAAATATCAAGATATAATTGTCTCGTATAAGGTATTTCATTTTCCTTCAGGAGTTGCTGTATTGAATTCTCTTTTTCTTCTATTATTTTCTTCAAAAGGATATTTTCTTGTTTTGGACCAGACCATGAGAATCCTTTTCTATTTGTTTGTGAACTCTCTTTAATGAATCAGCATTTTGTTGAGAAGGTAAACTCTCGTCATCAGGCAGAGAATTTAGTCCATTTTCATATTTTTTCTTGTCCTGTATTAGTAGAAATTATGATTCATTTCATTTTGCAAATCAAAATGAATACTTGTCTTTCAGGTGAAACATAGTAATAATTATTTCTTCAGGCACATCAAGAAACAATTAAATAGCAAAGCTGAAATCGTTATAAACTTGTACTAGTAAAAAAAAGTTTCATCTTTGGAAACTTTCAATTGTGTTCGCCGACAGTCATATACCTGTTGATAATCCATATACTGTGTGAAGAGAGTGGAGGATAGTATTAGCTAACTAGTTAAGAACAAAGCCTTGAAGTTATTTGAAATAGCAGCGAAAGTCCAAGTTTACTCTTATAATAAATATACATCCGATATTTCGACAATTACTATTGGTAAAACTAACTCTGAAACATAATAAGCAATAGTTAGGAGGTACTAATCACAAGAGCTCACTCCCCCTTTTAGTTTTAATAAAATCATCAAAACTGTGTCAAAACTATCTGACAGATCCTGAGCGACTACCGGAGAATTAAAAATTATCTTCATATATCAAACATGTAGCTTATATATGAAAAATTGACATGTACTTACATTATTTTCTACTTTCAATAACGTCGTATGACTTTCTGTATACAAAAATGGTGATGTACAGTCTCCTCCTACGCGAACTTTCAAAAGTTTTTCAGTCATCTCCGATTTTGGCCACAATGCTGAACATGATTCGGGATTCACGGTCACCCATTTATCAGCAGGTCTGTCATTTTCTTGGCATTCAACGGGAAATGGAGCATTATTGATTATTACGTAATAAGGGGTAAATGTTACTTGCTTCGTTAGGCTATTGAAAGTTAATTGATTCTGAACTCCAATCTGAAAATTAATAACATATCGGTTAGATAATTGAAATGTATAAATATCATGAAAATGTCAGAAGTAATATTGTAACTTTTGAAAATGTGAAGTATAGGTACAAATGCCTAATTGACGAGTGAAAAGATAATCGTAAAGAACAATTTACGACAAATACAGCTGTTTCAGCCTGTTGGGCATGTCAGTACCAGGAAGGCGGTCCAATTCGTGAGGTTGCAACACTTAATTAACAAAAAAAAAGAAAAACAAATGCACGGAGCCACCAGCAGGAGCCAGCAGCACATTTGTGGTCCCACAAATCTTGTGTTGACAAGGAAACTATCAAAATCACCACGGAGGCATCTATAGCTATCTGCGTGACATCCGGGTCCAGGAAATAATACAAGTATGAAAGTTATTGAGTGTCTTGATATAGATACAGAAATTGATAATCGGACTTAGCACTCAAGATAGTGGCAAACCATAGACATGTGGTGGCTCCGTACATTTGTATTCCTTTCTTTTGGTAACCAAGTGTTGCCCATCCTTGAACTTGGCGGCTGCACCATACTGATAATGGGCCGAAAGCCAGAAACACGTGTCTATGATTTGCCACTATCTTGAGTGCTAAGTCCAATTATCATTTTCTGTGTATATAACAGAACTTGGGAATTTTTTTTGGGTTATCAGCAGAACGGAAGTGTACTCTTATAACACAAGTTATTCCAATATTTCGATAAAATTTATTATCATCTCCAGGGAAAAGCTACAAATTTTGTATGATGGTAATACACTATAAAAAATTATTAATATGAAAGGTCACACTTACTGTTAGTGAGGTTGGCCGTGTCGAAAAGAATGTTATATTTAAACAATTGAAACATGTCAATACAATAAACAAGTCACTAAATAAAATAGGTTGACTCCTCACAGGATACAAAGAAGAATATTACATTAAAATTTTACAAAAAATCGTCAATTGTTTCAAAGTTATGGATTACCGGTAAAATCCATGAGGTGGAAGAACAAAGAGAGAGACACAAAACAATTGACACTGTCAGCTGTCATGTAATTCAGTTTAAAAAGATGTGTTAGTTTGTAGATGATAAGCCATGGAACAAAGGAGAACTAATTATGTGCAAGTGTGATCAAAGACATCTGCTGTTCAGTAAGTGACTCAAGGAGAAAACCCAAAAATCAAACATGTTAATTGATTGAACAACATCCTCATTAGTACACTAGGAGAAAACAAGTGAAGAGGAGTTGTTAAATGAATGTAAAACCCTGCCTTAGGGAGGTTGAAATTTTTTTGTTGAAGAAAAAATGTTTGAAATTTATGAAAATTATATCAATGAAAAACCAGAATTATTATTGGTTTGGATTCGTGTAGATTTTTGTCAATGTCTAATGAAAAGGCATGGATTTCACTGAGGTGATCAATGTCTGATCTTTTATTGAGGCAATTATTAGATTGTGAAATAAATGGCATTTCCATAAACAATCTTTTAGATGTGTTTTTTTCAGTTGATAATTTTTTTTTGTTGAATTATAGTACATTTTATGACCTTCTTTGGACACATGGTTACTGAGAGCACATCTCTCAGGATGTAATCTACTATCACTTTTATGTGAACTAATTCTGTCTTTGAGCAATCTTGACGTTTGACCAATATATTCACTACTACAGTTTAAGCATGGAATAGAATAGATTAATTGAGACTGTAAGTTAATTTGAGTTTTATCTTTACTTTTAGAAAATACTTTATTGATGGTGAATATGGTTCTAAAAGCTATTTTTACATTTAAATTTTTGAAAATTCTGCATAATTTGGGTGTCATATCCCTTATGTATAGTAAAGAAGAGAAAAGAATAGGAACTGGATGTGGATCAGTCCCAATTGTGACATTTTCAGGCTCTAAAGGATCTGTGTCCAACTGGTTGTTATTGTTAATTTGAACGTCAATGGTCGACGTACTAAATAAGATCTTCTTAAGTAGAGGATCCGAGTAGGAATTGTTAATAAATAATTGAAAAAGTGTACTTAATTTTTTTTATGAAAAGAAGGATCGGAAATCTGCAGAATGTGGTTCTTCATTTGTTTGACCAAATTGATTTTCGTTGACTGTTTATGGTATGACCAATAGTTCAAGAACCTACCAGAACTGATAGGTTTGCGATACCAATCTATGAGTAAATTATTATCTGGTGTTCTGATAACCTTAGTGTCAAGGAATGGAACACATTGTTCGTTATTCTCAGTTTCGATGGTGAACTGTATGTAAGGGCCATAACTATTAAAGATGTCCACAATCTCAGATATTCCATCATGAGGAAGGGATATAATAATGTCATCGACATATCTTTTTTAAAAGAAAAGATTGAAGGGAAGTACCTGTAAGACCAAATCTAGCAGGTCATCCATGACATAAGCTGCTAAAATGGGGCTAATCTTAGCTCCCATTGGAGTACCAAAAGTTTGTTTATAAACTTTACCATTGAATGAAAAATATGTGTTATTAAAAAGGAAAGTTATAAGTTGGAGGAAATCGTCTTTTTGAATGTCACAAAATTGACTAATACGTCCCCACTTTCTATCAATAGATCTGAGACCAGAGACCAACATCTAAGCTCGCAATAACATAATCGTTGGGTAGTTTCATTTTATTGAATGTAGAGAAAACATCAAAAGAATCTTTAATATAGTATTGATTGTCAAATTCATAAGCTTTAGTTGAAATATCTATTAGAAAAGAAGAAGTTTTTCAGTGGGAGAACCAATTGAAGCAATAATGGGTCTAAGAGACAGGCTTGGTTTGTGAATTTTGGGTAACGCATAAAATTTGGGTAAAGTCCCAGTAGGTATAGTTGGTAATACGTTTTTTTGTAATTTCGTCAGTCTGATTGACTTCAAATATTTTTTTAATTAAATAATTACAATTACGTTGAACTTGTAATGTAGGATCTTCACTCACTTGTGAGTAAGAATCACAATTTTCAATCAGGTTTGTAGAAAGGTTATTAAACTGGTCACGGTCAAGTATCACAGTGACATTGCCTTTATCAGACTTGGTGATTATGAGGTTAGGATTATTTTTTAAGAAACGTTCAGTTTTTAAGAAAAGATTTTGGAAAAAATTGTTGTTAACATGTTTTTTGAAAGTTATAAAATTGGTAATAATATTAGTAGATCGTGCTACTAGAGACTTTTTTTCATTCTCATTAGTGATAGTGGAAGTGATGTAGTCAACATCAGCTAAAATATTTTTTATGGGGAATGTACCATCAACGATGGGTTCAATGCTAAACTTAGGGCCTAAGGCCAAACATTTTTAAATGTCCTCAAGGATACTAATGCCTGAAAGATTCTTTATTCATTCTGGTTTTGTTTATCCATCTTTTTTAAAGATTTAAATGTAAAAATAGCTTTTAGAACCATATTCACCATCAATAAATTATTTTCTAAACTTAAAGATAAAACTCCAATTAACTTACATTCTCAATTGATCTATTAACTGTGGTAGTGAATATATTGGTCAATGGTCAAGATTGCTTAAAGACATAATTAGTTCACATAAAAGTGATAGTAGATTACATCCCGAGAGATCTGCTCTCAGTAACCATGTGTCCAAAAAAGGTCATGAAATGTACTATAATTACAAAAAATTTATCAACTGGAAGAAACACATCTAAAAGATTGTTTTTGGAAATGTCATTTATTTTACAATCTAATAATTACCTCAACAAAAAATCAGACATTGATCACCTCAGTAAAATCTATGCCTTTTTATTAGACATTGAACAAAATCTACATGAATTCCAAACCAATAATGATTCTGGTTTTTCATTAATATAATTTTCATAAATTTCAAACATTTTCTCTTCAACAAAAAATTCCAACCTCCCTAAGGCAGGGTTTTACTTTCATTTAACAACTCCTCTTCACTTGTTTTCTTCTAAAGACTACAGAGGATGTTGTTCAATCAATTAACATATTTAATTTTTGGGTTTTCTCCTTGAGAAAATACTTCAAAACACTAAAAAACTCCTCTCAGGTATCTCAAAGTATGCCTCTTCACTCACAGGCGATTTTTGTGAAATTGGTGACAATCATTGTATTCATGCCACGTGCTAGTGTTGGAATGTCTGCAGTATGCTGTTAGTAGACCCACTGTGATTCGAAATTGTATATAAATTATAACGGCATGGAGTCATATTATCTGCTGCATAACTGCTCATATTGCCTCTAAATCTTTTCGTTGGAGACAATCTATTGAAATGAATGATTGAAATACGGGGAAACGTATGGATTGATATTTTGCATTTTCTTTTTTTGTTGCAATTCGAACACGTCGGTTTTTTTTTTCATGTCCATCCGCGAAGTTTCCTCTCTTGTGAAGGAATCCAAGCATTGTAACAGACTCAATTGTCCAGTTCTTTGTGAAATGGAGAGTGACAAATCCCAGAAAGGATCGATGGTTACTGATGAGTATCCATCTCAAGGATTTTAATTGAGTAACGAAATTATCCACAATCTTAAGGTTATTTATACTCAAATATCTCAACCATGATTCTTGTGTTTTTTGGCTATTGCTCAATTTTTCGTTAATCTCCGTTAAGATCGGTTTAGGTTCCTCATTAAATCTATTAATGACATCATGTAAACCTCCTAAAAAATTACGAAGGAACTCCTAGGCGTTTTGATGCGCATGACCCATGAATCGAGGGGCAAAAACCCTGAATCTGATTTTTTAAGGAGACTGTGTTGACTACTTCATCAGATGAATCTTCTTACCACAGTCCCTTGATAATTTAAGCGAACACTTTGATTGAAGCACCATCTATACTAGAAATACTAGTATTGATATCTTTCATGTGTTTATCCTTTTTTAAATATTCCAGTAACAATCTCGTGTTTGATGAACATTGAATAACACTGTTCATGAAACAGGTGTTGCCAATATTTTTCAAACCATAAAGCCCAGGAGTTTTGACTGTAGGGCTTACACTCACCCTCCCTACTCTACAGATACAGATTGACTGTAGAATGTATGAATGGTCTAATTTTCTGGTAGCTGATACGTTTCCCACTTCTTTCGAGTAATTACAGGTGCGATGATTCTCCCCATCATTGGACCAGCGAGATGAGAAATTTAAAGTTGAACTGCTTGAAACTGAATTAGATAGATTCACGGTAGATTTTTTGAATTTGTAAGACAATGGTAATTCCTGGAATTGTTCAAATTTGTTTGCATTTTCTGAACACATTCATAATTACTTCATAATAACGATGAGATTGGAACCTTTGGTGTGAAAGTTGAATAATTTTTTTCGAGATCAATTGCCCTAACACTAAACTGCTATTTTTGCACTCGACCAACATTTCGCCAACAAAGTTAGCATCCTCAGGAGAAGAAAATTGATACCTAGTCTAGTCTGGTTAATCCTTATATACTAAAATTTGTTACCTTTGGTTGTATACCTGAAGTCCAATATGGAATTTCTCGGTAATTAACTACCTGCAAGTTCTTAGTAATTATTCTCTTCCTAACAGGATATTAAAAAGTGGGCTAAACGGGATGGGTCCCTTACCGCCATTCATGCTGTTATTACATTTTGCTTTGTAATTGTATTTTTGTAATGTTTTCAATATAATGGCTGATATTATGAACTGCATGAAGGAACGGCTATGGGTAACCCATTGTCTCCATTTATAGCGAACCTATTCATGGGTAGGTTTGAGACGGAAGCTGTGAAAGAACTTAGTTACTTCCCTAGGGTCTGGATCAGGTATGTTGATGACATATTCGCTGCAGTGGATACAAGGATAACCAGAATTGAGAATGTCCTTTTAGTACTAAACAACAGGTGTAAGAGTATAAAATTCACATATGAAGTAGAAAAAGAACGAAAGTTTCCTTTTTTAGATGTATTGGTCATAAGGAACGAACAGAACGAAATAGAATTTGACATTTACAGGAAAGACACGGGTACTTTCAGATACATTCCCAATGACTCGAATCATTGTCCACAACAAAAAATGGCGGCACTGCAATTTCTGGTACACAGGTTAATAACTTTTCCTTTAAAGAAAGATAAGTACGACAATGAAAAGAGAGTGATTCGGTATGTAGCTGAAGCAAACGGTTTTAACCCAGATATAGTTGACAAGATAATTAGAAAGTTTAGGGAAGCACTTCGTAAATCTTCGACTTTTCAAAAAGAGAAGAGTAATAACAAGTTTATAGTAATCCCATATGAACCCCAATACACGAGAGGGCTTCAACAGATATTTGATAAAGTAAATATGAAAGTTGCATATAAAACTTCTTATAAATTGCAACAGCTTCTTGGTAATCCAAAAGAAAGACTAGAAAACACAGAAAGGTCGGAATCAGTTGTCAAGATTGCAACAGCAAATACATCGGCCTGAGCCGACGAGTGATTAAAACCCGCTTCAAGGAGCATTGTGCACAAATGAAATACGGAAGGATAGAAAAATCCAGTGTCGCCCAACATGCTCTAGACAAGGATCGCAGAATTGGTGAAAACATTCTGAAATTGATTAAGCATGTGCATGACACCAGGCTACTCGATGCATGTGAGAGTCTAGAAATAGCAAAATGTAAGGACAGTATGAATGGCGATAAGGGACCCATCCCGTTTAGCCCGCTTTTTAATATTCTGTTAGGAATGATTACTAAGAACTTATAGGTAGTTAATTACCGAGAAATTCCATATCGGACTTCAGGTATACAACCACATGTAACGAATTTTAATATATAAGGATTAACCAGCCTAGAATAGGTATCAATTTTCTTTTCCTGAGGATGCTAACTTTGTTGGCGAAACGCGCGTCGGGTGCAAAAATAGCAGTTTGGTGTTAGGGCAATTGATCTCGAAAAAAGTTATTCTACTTCGTAATAGTTTCGTTTCCATCGTTTTGAAGATATTCGAAACTTTTAAAGTGACGAAAAAGTCAATATTATTAGGATAAAGTCACAGCGTTACTGTCAAAATAATAATCATGGCCTGTTAAAAAAATAGCAAATGGGAATGCAATTCTAAAGTGACATTTTCAAAAATAAATATTTTAAGTCTGAAACTAGAAAAGTTAGGTATACGCATGATGCACAGAAAGAAATCAAATTTCAATAGCTTTCTGAATTTGTAACAATATAATCAATATATTTTGAGATAATCAACTTTCAGCCACTTTTTCAAGCAAACGAAAAAACGGTATTTTTTACCACCCTGTATAGGAGTAACGGAGATTACGTGGAAGTGTGGGAAGCCTCCAAGTATCACTTAACTACAAACCAAATTTTGGTACCATAGTATTCCTCAACTCAAAGATATCAGAATTTTCAGAGGTCATGATTTTCGAAGAAAAAAATTAAAATTAATTCATATTTCGAAAACGGTAACAGATAAGTATAGGGAAGAATCAAAAAAAGTTGTCGAGTAATTATTGTAGATTCCAAAAATGATATTATATATAGGGTGTTCTATTTGAAAAATCAAAGTTGCTACTACTTTCTAATGGAAGTGGTAACACCGCAACTGTGCGAATATGCTCTCCATTGAATTTTAAACGTGATCCGTTGTCTGGTTCACCAGAAATGTCTAATGTGGCATCCACCATGAATCAGCCACTATATTTTCAGCGGCAGCGGTTTACTTAGTATATATACCAAGTTATTTCCTAGTCCACTACGAACGTGATAGGACCATAAAAAAAGCGGATTCATTGCATATCTACCTCTCGAAGGATTATCGTTAGGTTAATCTTTCAGAGAAGTGTTTGATATTGGAAGGTCAGATTAATATTTGGTGTTTGTGAGGTTCATAATGAATTACAAAATGATGTACTGATGATGTAAAGATGTTATTTTGCAACCGTAGAGTTACGCAAAATTTTTGATATGTTTAACGATTGTGAATTGAAGCCTTGTTAGAACGTGAATTTTTCAATACATATAGTTTTATAGAGCTGATTATTTTATATATGAAAAAACAATTCATATGGATCATGCAACAAAAAACACGTCGAAGAAAAGTTTCTTCACAAAAAAAAAATTGTAATATTCTGATGAGCGATTTTCTCATTTCTATCGATGTTTTTCATTACAATTTTCAAATTATTACAATATGGAATAATTTGAAAACGGTGTTCTTTCCGTTCATCATTCGTTCTAGTTACATATAATAGACGTTTTCATGGTTAAGGAAAACAATTCTAGAGTGAGACTTCAAAATTAATTTTCAACTAGAACCTGGTGAAAGCAAAAAATTACAACTGACTTTTCATACCTGATAGATCATTTTATGCCACTTGCAGGCAATCACTCCAGATGAACCAGCGACATCTAAAGAAAATTTCTCAGACCATTCCCCTGATTCAACTCTTATTGAAGTTTTCTTCTTGCCAAAAAAATGTTTAGCGTTGAATGAGAATAAAATTGGACCTTCGTAGTGTCCAGGATGGTGTAATATATTTTCGTCGGAATTCTGAAAAGAAATTAATGAATAAAATCATTCCAACTCGGAGAATAATGTAACTAGCGGTGTCAACTATCTCAGTGGTTTATTATCAGATATATTATTCAATTAATTACAATTAATAAAATACGTTTTGGCAAAACAATAACGAACAATTTAGGATACCAATTTTCAGTTAATTTTCAAGTATAATATCGCTTATTATTATAATGCTAATCCATCCGGTTTGACTTTGTTTTGGTGAGTGTTTATTTGATGTAAACTTAATAGATCGGGACGAACAAATTTCAATTGGTGGTAAGTATTCTATTGGATACTTGGTATACTACTAGACCGTATAATTCAATTTCAAACATGTTCACAGGAAAAATACATAAGTTAGGTACATTGAGCCATGGGAAACAACCAGTATATAAAATCAAATAAAATATTATTCAATAATAATTTCAGTCATATCGAAGCAGCGACACATCTATTAGAGTTACTATTATAATCACTATTTTGTTGTTTGAATAGGAGTTGCTGATCAGGCACTGAACTTGAGGCTACGACTCATTCGGAGGCCGTACAAGCATCGTTAACTAATGACTACTCTCCACGACAGTGGAGTTAGTGATAATTGTGTGATTATTATTTTTATTATTATTTCCATGAGGTTGCGCTGGTCGGGCCCTATCTCTTGAAGCCCCTATACATTCGCGAGGACGTGCCAGCATTATCAACCATTGACCCCTCCCCACACCGTGGGGTAAGTGATCATTGGGTCCGAAAATCATGTATCCTAAGCAATTAAAGCTAATTGAAAGTAACAAAGAAAATAATATATCATTTAGATTTTTTTTGCTTTCATTACAATTTCATGAATTTCGTTAGTCTACGATTACAATCATTTCCTTAAGATCCAGTTCATCATTTCTATGAATTGAATAGTTCTCCCAAGGTGAAGTGAAATCGGTTCCTAGCACCAAATACCTTTTCACATCATCAGAAGATAGTGCAACTTTCTCTTGAACTAAAGAGTGTACTTGATGTTTCTCAGACCTGATGAGATTCTGAGAGATAATCTTTAAAGATGAGTTTTCGAGACATTCCACATAGTCTTCGACAGTTATTTCAGTTTTAACAACGGACAACTACTCTCCCTTAACCTTTTTCACTAATCCATAGTTTCGTATAGTATTCTCAATTTCATTCTCCTCATAATTTTTCTTCTTATGGAATATTCTGAAATCATTGTCATCTGTTGAAACTTTGATTGCATATGATTTTTATCTGAATTCGACGAAATCAGGCATTGGTACACCATTATTCTCGCCCCTTCATCACTTTCTTATTCAGTTGTCTAATTCAGTTTCAGGGCAGTCAAAAGTATTGAAGTATTCGTGAAAATCTTGTAAAATGAAATCATATGGGTTCTGATCTTGACAATTTTATCTGTATAGAGGACTAAACAGCTATTGACATGAGAGAATATATATTCATAATGAAATCCATAAATTGTCGTTTTTACCAGATGTAATATGCCCATACATTGGCCCATTCAAGTAACTACAGCTGTAGCTTGTTTAGTTCCATCGTTACAAGATTCTCATTGAAGATGGTGTAGTTTTTGAACCCAGACTTCAAGATTTATTGCCTAGGCACCATATTTTCCGAACCAGTTTCACATTTACCATTTTTCTAATGTTTTCCTTTGTTTAACCCGAAAAAAAAAGATTTGTGAAAACAAAATTCATATTTTCATTAAATAAAATAACTAGAGATTGCATTGTTTATTAGCTTGAACATGTTTTTCTCCAATTCATTCTTCGTTGCCTTCCGTAAGTTGGTGACCCAATCTATATATGGTTTTAACCATGAAGACTGTTTGAATTCTAAAACACGATCTACTTTTTTCATGATCAATCCATATTTCAATGCTTGCTTCAGAGCTCTATAGTGAGTTACATATTTCTCCTCAGAATAGAGAATAGCTATCAATTTAGTAATTTCTTCAACATTGAAGAGGCTTAATTGTCTTGGAATTTATATGTTCCGGGCAGGAAGGTAAATCCTTATGTAGCTCATATGAATGCTGAGGATATTCCAAATCTACCTTCAGGAAATATCCTATATCGGCATCATCCGGAATCGTTGTCACATCTATATTACCATCTGCCCATTCGAAACCTCCATATGGTAGATGTTGACTCATAGCCCAACGATATTGATTATTGACATCAAAATACATCAAATAAGATTCAGGCTTCACAGGCATGCACTACATTATTCTGTATTCTTCTTTCATATGTGAATAATAATTATTATTACCTATTGTTAGCATAATATCTTTCTTTTTTACACACTTGATTCAACCCTCCTCAAATTTCACATTCAACAAATGAAAACATATTTGACATGCCGTTATTTCCAGTTCTTGGTTTATATACTTCAATATTGCCATCCCATGTGAAATCTGGTAAAGTGAAGTAGTATGCAGAACCAAGTTCATATGTTTTTAGATTAATTGTGCAGAATTATTCCGGTACCTCGCAGAGAAGAAGAATATCAATTTTCATTTAGTACAATTGGTACAATTGAACTTATTCCACACCTCTTACGCTCTACGATACCAACGACGAGAACATGGTTTTATCAAGTTTATTGTAGAAACCATCAATAGTCACATCTTTCTTTTTGAGGAGGTTGATCCGTTCTTCATTTAGATCTGCGAATTGTGACTTCAAATTGGAGAATTCAGAAATATAGATATGAAAGTTTATCTAAGGAAGCGTTCATAATTCGAGAACTGGATTCCCAATTCTTTGATATGTTTTGTGAATGAAATAATTTTTCCTTTGGTGATTGGTAGTAAACCACTTAACCTTCCATCCTTGTAACTATATCTGTCATGATAAAAGGAGCATCTTTTCTTGATAGATTATGAAAAACGATTGACTATCCTTATAGTTTTTGTTGCATCCTTAATGGGACGGACCCGGATAATTATTTTCGAGAATAAAGAAGCGGATGAATTGAAAGATCCTTCACGAATATGGCAAATTGTGGCCTTTTGGAATGCATATTCCTGCTCAACTGATATATTAATATCGAAGGGGCACATCAGAACGGTTGAAACATCCACAGCTGAACTATTCATTTGATTAGCAAACCATTGCATACAATCCTTGCCTCTATATGCTTTGTAATAGAATAGTCACGTAATCCCTGTATATGCTCTGTAATAGGATAATGAATCATCATTGGAACATTTCGAGTAGTATCCTACGGCTACTTTAATGTGTTTCTGAAACTCAGTCTTATTCTCTATCGGTTCTTGAATACTCTCCAAATTGGCATAAACGGCAAACGGAACTTCACCTTTATTTTTTACCTTTTTCTTTTTATCCTTCCATAGATATATTGGAAGAGTGTTAACTTGCTTCATCATCTTTTTCAGGATTATAAAATTATTGAAATATAATTTTGCTTTTCAAATCTCGGAGTTTGTTCAACAGTCATTGTGAAATTGATTCCTTCAAGTGTTAATGCTTCAGAATATGAAGTTCTAGATATATTCTTAGTGTCTCCACAAAGAAATAATGATGAGGTAACAGCCCACGTAAAGCAGGCCTTATCATACATTTTTTATGTAAGCTTTTTTCAGGGCAATTGGAGGTGGGAGATCTATGAATGAGAAACCAAGCTGGGAAGTAAACTTGTTGATATTCATTCCTAAATTGAAAATAGTTTGAGTTTTTTTATCAATGAAATTTTTAGAATTATTATTCATTCTCGTTTTGGAAGCCAATTTCTGCTTGTGATGTCTGTCATCCATCTAAATGAAACACCTTCAAGGTTCATTCAATAACTATATTTTCCAATTTTAAAATACCAAATCACAGAGCCCTGTCCAAGGACGTCACAGATAACTTTTTATACAAGTATTATAGTCCAGGCATATTCCTACTGACATTACACTCCTCCCTTTCTAATTTAGAAGTCTTGTGCTTATAACTATGGTTCAAACCGCTCAGACGGTTTTCTGAAACGCTGGGGGCGATGGGATAATTCACTGGGAGATATATGAGTCTCCAGATCACTACTAGTTGAATTGATATTATTATAATTCGATATTGGCATCGTTAAATCTCTCTCTTGTGATTTTCTCACCACCGCTCCTGGTGCCTCACTGCTACCTAATTGAGAGCTCGATTTTTCCACCTCTTGAGGCAAAACAATTTGTTCCTTACTGATTTCAACTTCTCCTACATTCACATAGCTATCATGAACAGGGATAATCTGGTTTATGTGACGTTTCCATTCCAAATTGGTATTGGGTATTCTTACTTTAACAATATTTTTTTCTAATCTACGAATTACAATTCACGATGTCCACTCTGGTTCAACCCTTCTATAATCTCTCACTAGCACCTTTTGTCCTATTTCAAGACGATCCCGTATTTTTCCTCGATAATTTCTCTTCTGGCGATTTTGTGATTTGATAATATTATCTTTAATAGTACTCATATAGGTTTGGGTTTACGTACCGGTATATTTATGGGTTTAATTAAATCTAATCTAGTTCTGAGAGCTCGGCCCAGCATCAAACGGGCAGGGGATTCGCCAGTGATACAATGCTCTGTATTTCTATACAATACAAAAAATTATAAAGGTATAATTCTGTAATCTGAGATTGTTTCGAAATCACATCAAAAATATTTTAAGAACTTTTCAAAGTCTTGATAATAAATTGTTTAATAGTTTTCACACTATTTTCAGCCGCCCCGTTTGAAGCTGGGTGGTATGGTGGAGACGTCGCATGAACAATGCCATTATTAAGAAAAGAATTCTGAAATTCGTTGGAGATAAACGTTGGTCTGTTATCTGAAACCAATGTCCTCGGGAGACCAAACTGAGCAAATAATCCCCTTAATTTACTTATAGTAGCTGATGCTGTGATTGAAGTCTTTAAAAAAACTTCCAACCACTTCGATAATGCATCCACAATTAGGAAATAAGTTTTAATT